AATTTAAAAACAAATGACTGCGGCAATCTAGAATATTCCTAATATATTTAAAAAATAGGCAAAGATTTTTTCTTTCATATTTTAAACTTTAAAGAAGATTTAAACTTTCATATTTATATTGTACTAGCTGTTGCCCGCGACTCCTTTCGCGTTGATTGAAAAAGAGCCAAAGTGTTCTTTTAGACTATTCCCTACATCTATGCTGAATTTCATTGAGAGCCGTTCTGCAGTTTAGGCTATGAATCCAATAAACATCCATCCATCTAAACTTTCGTATTTATAATATTAGTAAGACTATGCATAAGTAAGATAATAATGTATTCTAACAGCATTTAAATCTATACTATTATAATAAAGCGTAAACACACACTTCCTGGTTGCCTAAGATGTCAGCAATCACAGAATCTTTTTGAATAATCCCTTTTTTTTATTAAAAAGCCCCACACTTACGTCACGATTTAGGCTATATATTTTTACGCCATTAAACTTAGGGGGTAAATAATTTGGATAAAAACCCTAATGTGGGAAAGAGACCATAAGTTGCTGCCAACATCAAGGAAGCGAGATTGCCATAGTAAAGTAATTGGTATTTTGACATTTGCAATTGAGAATTTGGCAAATGTAAACGATTAAATAAGGTTTTTATGATTCCATGGGGATGAAGCCGCACGGGAACAGCTAGTAAGATAATAAAGTATTTTAACAGCTGTTAATAATAAAGGTTTCAACTATTAAAATATGATTTGGTTTTCAGCTATAAAGTTACGTATACGTTTAAACTGTTTTAAAACCGTGGGATAGAGAGAGGTAAGCGAATTAATTTTATAATATCTCTAACGAGTCAATTTGATATGTATGAAAATAAACCAGCTGTGAAATTCGCTAGAGTTTATTGACTTCCCAAACATGTTCCTTTCTATTTGGATAATAAATTTCAAACAAAAATATTTTCACTTTTTATTTTGTAATAGGCATTCTATGGTTGTTTACTATGAACAAAAAATACTATTTAGAAGTCTTTTGCATATATTTATTCGTAAAATGGAGTCAACATTAACTCATACGTCCTTAAACCAAAGTAGTTTAGGAAAACAGTTATTTGGTGTATTCAATTATTTATTTATTTATTTACTCAGTGGTTTAAACACTTGACTTGTAATCTACAGGTCTTGGGTTCGGATCCCGCTGTACAAATGTGATTTTCGATTCTTTGTACAAAATTTACCCGACATTCTTACGGTGAAGGAAAACATCTTGATGCAACCAGTACATATAGGAGAAGAAATTCAAAGATATGTGTAAAGTCAACCAACCCGCACTAGGCCAGCGTGGTTGACTATGGCCTAGTCACTATCTTAGGGTAATCTTCGAGCCACTCACCGAGGGCCCCTTCCCGGGGTGGTCAGTGAGGCGTCGCGGTGGCAAGCGAAAGCGATCCCGTGGCGCCCCACACATTGACCAGGAGGGAACGAAGGGGTTTAGTGAGGTATGCCCCCCACTATGGGGGGAGAGTCCCACATAACTCACGTGTCTGCCCCGAGGCATGGAGTATGCGTAACGCATTCCCCTTCGTAAAAAAAGGTGGTGATGATGATTTAATAATCTTTGAAGTATTGGGAATTATTGAAGACAATGTTATGGGAACATTGAACAAAGTTTATGTAAAACATCCGTATAAATATTGATGTCATATGAATCGTTAATTCAATATTCATTTGTTTATATCTGGAAAATTCGACGTGTGTGTTTTGTTTACAATACAAGACATAACCTCTGTAAGTCTGACCAGAAATATAGAAAACGTTTGCCATTGCTGACAATATGGAACTAATTTACAATAGAATGATTTTTTTTTAATTTACTAATGTTTCCTTTAACCATTGCAACTAATCTCTAGGCTTGTGCTAGGATATGGTTCACAATAGTCGAATGGATTGGACCCCACGACCGCAAGATCGGTAGCCCGTACCTCAAACTATTAGGCTATTGGCGCTTGTAGTGGTGATATGGTTTATCGAGAGCATGGTTTTATATTATTTTTGTATTTTACAGTGGAACTCATAACTATATACGAAATAAGTTTTATTGTTACTCTTATATGCTCTACATTGCTTTATTTCGCCGTACACCAAACTACCTGGGGGCCTTGTAGATTCGATATCACATATAATATGTATAAATTACATACTAAATCTTACAGGAAATTGGATATTAACAGAAGTAACGTAAAAACAATTTAAATAAGCACAAATTGCGAGCCTGTTTGTCTGTAAATAGACTCAGTACGTGTTTTTAGAGGCCTCACTTAGTTTGAAAACCCATTAATGAAAACAGGTTTTTTAATAACTAAAAAGTTATGTGGTGATAAGAAATCTGTACTTTAAAAATAATTTATTAGAAAAAATGTATAAACAGAATAAAACCTACATCAAAAATGTTTTGAATAGTATAGTAAATTATTAACTTGCTTATGCGTAACTAGCTTTCGTTGGTAGTTTCAAAAGTGTTCTTTCAGAATATCCTCTACGTGCTAAATTACATTAAGATTCGTTCAGCAATTTAAATTACAAACTAACAAACATCCATCTACCTAAACTTTCGCATTCATAATATTAGTAAGTTAATGGTTTCCGAAAAGTTTTTATATACTTATGCTGTTAATCGATACGAATCGGAAATAAGAGTCGATAATCGGTCTGTTTTACCGACATGGATGCGAGTTTCGGAAGCGAGTGAACGACCGGGGTTGCGCAAGCGCAGGCACTTCGACCTTGGCTTTGTTGCATTTTAAGTGGACATTTGTAAACCGCTGCTTAAACGATAAATAACTTATTTATGGTAACGTGAGATTGTTTTCTAAAACTGCTACTATTTATCTTACTAATATTATAAATGTGAAAGTTTAGATGGATGGATGGATGTTTGTTAGAGTTTATAGCCTAATAGGCTGAACGGATCTCGATTAAATTAGGCAAAGACGTAGAGGATAATCTAGAAGAACGCATAGGCACACAGTTTTATTTTTTCTACTTCCATGCGAACGGAGTCGCGGGCGAAAGCTAGTATATCATAAGCTGACAAAATTTGTTTAACTTGTCAGTAATCTGTCAATACTTTGTCACTATATCTTCAAGTGACTCTACGATCTTCTTAATGTAATTCGGAATGGAAGCTACCAAATAAATTATTGAGATAGATTAACTTTCTAAGCTATTTCTAGGTAAGCCTATAAATGGTGGATGAGGAAAGAACCGAATAAGTTAAAAAGATTCCAATTATGAAATACTAGCTATTGCCCTTGGCTTCGTCCGAAAAAAAAAATTAAAAGATATAGCTTATGGTACTAAGGAATAACTTAGCTTTTTAATGGTGAAAGATTTTTTTATAATCGGCCCAGTAATTTTTGAGTTATTTTAATACATACAAAAATACAAATCTATCCTCATTCTAACATTAGTATATCTAGAATATAATGTATGGTTTATCCAATATATTGTTTTTTCAGTACAAAGGGTTGCTTTCAGAATAGTTAAGAGGTAGACAAAAGAAAACATGCAAATGAATGCTAAACAGTTTGTCACGTACGTCACGTGAGTGCAAAGAAAAGCAACTGATCAAATAACCACCAAGAGGTAATGAGCGCTAATGAACTGAGAAATCAATTGTCACCTCTATTTGTACTTGAAGGTACTAAATAAACCACAGTATAGTATAATATTTCATTTGTTTCAGTAATTTAGATTCTATGTTATTGGAAATTGGGTTTATTTTACAAAAAAATATTAAAAACCAGACGGGTACAAAAAGACGATTTTCTATTTCATGGATTAATAGTAATTTAGTTGTGCCACATCTTTAGTATGAAAATAAACGAGGAAATAGATTTAGGGCCTGTCCTACCACTGGCTGATAGAGGCTCAGATAGTTTAAAAATGACGTCACTGTCAGTTAATGAAACAAACTCCGATATTTCCATCACATATTTTACACGTTGGATTTTCAGACGATTTATAATTTGGTGGGACAGGACCTAAGTAATGTAGGTTTCTCATACTATCTAAATTATCGCCGTTAGTTCTACGTTTCACGGATTTCTCGATTTTCGCAGATACATTACTTATTGATATTAAACAAGAATTCATTTTACGGTTTGTTTACACTAAATCGAATGCAAACAGACCAGTTTGTAACAAAACCAATACCTGTTCAACCTTCGACTATGACAAGGACGTCGTCTGTACTTGTAAAAGGTATTCGCTTAAATTCTAATGCAAATTAAAATCAATACTGATGTAATATTTAAAATATTTATAACAACACGATTTTAGTGTTTATTCTGAGAGCAAATGAGGTCATTACGTAACATGATATGTACAGGTTAAGTCATTTGACCTGGATAAGAACAAGAGGGCAGATGTGGTTTTAGGTTTCGTACTCAGGGTCGTTTAGTGGTTTAAGCAGTCCCTAAATGTGGATTATTCAAACTAGATCCATAAAATTGTTATAAACTTTGTGACTACCAAGCTAATTTGATTTTTTTTCATATAAAGTGGCAAACGAGCAAGCGGCCACCTCAATCTACCCAAATGGAAAGCGACCGCTGCCCATAAACATCCGTATTTGCAGATGCGTTGCCTACCCTTCTTTGACGGAGGAGACCCACATAAAGAGGACATTTCCCCTTCCTATGCGTCTCCTCCACCGTCAAATATACTTTTCCTTCCCATCCTTTCTTCTCGATAAAAGGGTGGAAAGGGAAAGGGACGAAAATTAGGTCTCCGGCACCACACCCATCAGACGAAACGTGGAATTGCTTCTACTTCACGCCTGTTTTCTGTATGGTCGTGGTATTACACCGGGCGAGCCGACCCATTCGTGCGAAGATGTTAAAGCGGGCTCTACCACTGTTAATGAAATAATGAATAAGTAATAATGTAATCGAATGAATAAGTCTATTATTTGTAGGTCTATTAAGTGTAGAAAAAGAAAGATGTACTTACATTTATTGCTTGCTGTCCACAAAGTACTGGTCGGGCTATTTCTTTTAGGTTTTGTATCTCTAAACATTAAGATATCTGGAATTCTATTTTGTTTATTATCTTTTGGTATAACATCTGGAGCTCTTTCAACGTTCACTCTGACGAATTCACCTTTTAGTACTTTAGCTGTGTCCTTCGGAAGCAGTGGCGGTGATGGTGCCTTAGTTTTTTTGTTGAAAAACCTTTTTCTTTCTGGTTTCGTAGGTATTTCTATATCTGTGTAAATAATGCTGTCTATCTCACCAGTATCGCCTATATCACTTTTAAAACCTATCAGACTTAAAGGTTGGTCAAATCGACTGGTACCCTTTTGATGTACAGATATGTGAGTTACTCCATCGCTATCTGTTTGCAGTAAATCGAATTCCGAACGATTTTTATCATAACTGTAGTCGTCAATACTGTTCTTTCTATTCTTAATTGAGTCCGTCGTTCTTTTTTTAGAGAATAAGTTATCGTTACTTGTATAATTAGTATTCATAGTCAGTCGGTTACGCATTTTAAAATATTTGTAAGTGAAGTATATTCTCTTGAAGTCTTGTTCATTTTCGAATCTCAAAACGATTGCTTCTGTGTTAACGTTCTTATTGACGTAGAAGACTAGAGTTTTCTCGCAGTTTGGATAGTTTTCGATGTTAACACAATTAGCTATGTCATCTATTGCGATATTTTCGTATTTGTTATTGATAAACTCATTGTAATCTTTATGTTTTTTGTCCTCGTCTTTGTCGTCTGTGAGTAGTTGTAGCTGATCTTTTTCGTTGAAGCCAACGATGATGTTGTAGGTCTGTGGTGGTGTTTTGCTGACAGCCAGCATGTCTAACTGCTGGCTGGTGTGTAACTTCTGCCTGGACACGATGACGGCATACCCGCCAGTACGAGCTGCCCTTTTCACCGTCATTGTGGATCTGTGAACAAGTAAATATTTATCTTAGATATATAATTAAGTGAATTGTTTATAGTAACAGCTCGGAAAGTTAGAATAAAATAAATAAAGGTGTTCAAAAGTAAAAAATGACTACATTTTTTAAGGAACCATCTACTAAAAATTAGACCATTTCTAGTAGAAAATGTTATCTATACAAAATTTTGATTTACGAAAACTTACAAGTTATGGATTGCGGCCTTAGCTAAAGGTAATGAAGTACATCTAATATAATATTCGTTAAATTAGTGTCAGTGTTAATTTCATGTTAATTTTGAGGATAACAAACGCAGTTTTTTTTTTCATATTGTACAAATTAGCCAGTATTTTTGTCATGTTAGCGAATACTAAAGGACCGTCTTGTTTTCCTAAGTACCAAATAGAACATTTGTTTAAATCAAGTTGTTTATTTCATTTACTTTCATCAGAAGGTTCCTTTACTCATGTACTGTAATGATTAAAAAAAATGTAATTAAATTGAGATTTACTGATCGAATAATTGGAAATTATAAAACAATGATTAATGACCGACTTCCCAAAAGAAGGACGTACTCAAGTCGTCTGTATGTTTTTTTTTAATTTTTTTTTTGTGTTTCATTACTAGGGTCGTGAAATTTTATTCAGTAATTTTTATTTTCGCTTTTTGGATGTTGTGCATTATATTTTTTTTACGTGTTTGTATTAAATAATAATGTCAAATTGTATAAATTACTATTATTGATCTACTAGCTGTCCCCGTACGAATTCATCCGCATAAAACTATAAAAACTTAATTTTATTGTTTATATTTGTCAAATTATCAATTGCAAATGTCAACATGACATGACATGACAACCTTGGCAATCTTGCTTCCTTGATGTTGGCAGCAACTTATGGTCTTTTTCCCACATTAGGGTTTTTATCCAAAATATTTACCCCTAAGTTTAATGGCGTAAAAATATATAGCCTAAAGCGTGACGTAAGTGTCGGGCTTTTCATTAAAGGAAGAATTATTCAAAAATATGCAGTAATTGCTGACATCTTAGATAACAAAGAAGTGTGTGTTTACGCTTTATTATAATAGTATAGAAGTATAGATACTGTTCTCATTATTTTGTTTCCGTAAACTTAAATAATGTAAATAGTTAATTCGTTGCACCCTCATTCACGCTAAAGTAATAATTAACATACTGACACTATATTTAAAGTATAATTATATTCTAACGCATGTTTTCACTAAATGCATAGATTAAATGATTCATTATTAGAGACCTCGACTAAAAAATATGTATTTACCTTTTTATGAATAATTTTATGAAGACATTTTTCTTTTCAAAATATTGAAATTATAGTAAAGTACATGTAATTTCGAAAAGTTGCTTAAAAAACCAGCGGGGATGAAAAATTTAGTTTTTATGTGTTTTTTAAAGTCATGGCTTCTTAAAAAGCTTACAATTTAAAGGATTCATTGGTTTTCAGGTGTCATCAAGCTACGGCCCGAAACAATATTTTATTTTATATGGTGATTAAACCCCCGGAACCCTGGATTTTTAGTACTATAGAAGATACATAAATTAAGTTTAGAAGGTGATATATTTATTATGCAATTCCCTATTTTTTATTAGATCTGTATAGCAAAATACGGTCTTACCTGTATGTCTGTTAAATAGTTTAGGATAAGATAATACTTGTTGGACGCTACCAATTATCCCTAACTAGCTTTCTACCGCGACTCCGTCCGCGAGTAATTAAATAAAAAACAAAAGTGAATAGCCTATGTGTTCTTCCAGGCTCTACGTCTGCGCAAAATTTCATCAAGATCTGTTCAGCCATTTAGGCTACAAGTTCTAATAAACATCCATCCATCTAAACTTTCGTACATATTAGTAAGATTACCAAGTATTGTAAAAAAAAAAAAGTTACTGTTGCGTTGTATTTAATTCAAGTTCATACGACATCCGACCCGAGAAGGTTGGCAACCCCTGTCTCGAGTGAAAGCTTACTCACCTCATATAATATACATAAGAAGTTATTTTAAAACAATAGATTTGTCGTAATCGTGTGACGACCGCAATAAGAAACACCTCGCTTCCTGGTGATGAGTAAATATGGTGTGGTGTAAGTAACAAGAGATGCAGATTTTATCTGGACCGCCCTCGCCGAGGTGAACACGACAATACTTTATGAAACCGCGTTTTGGCGCTTTCTGTTGTATCAACCTTTTATACAAGACACGTTTTTTGACACCCGAAATTGATTGGATTAGAGAAAAGAAGAAGTCTACCTTAAGTGTCCCTTACTCTTAATTTTTATACTAAACTAGCTATTGCTCTCGACTTCGTTCAAGTGAAATTTAAAATATAGCCTAAATTACTCGGCGACCACGTAGCTTTCTATTGGTGAAAGATTTTTTTCTTAAATTGAATACGGCCCATTATTTTATGAGTGTCATGCAAAAATTAATATCTATTCTTTTTACAATATTAATAGTATAGATATTAAATAATCCGGCATAATTTCCTTAATTTAATTTCTATGTATGTAATCGCTTCATCTCATATCTTGGGCCATACATGGTCGGTGTAAAACAATCGATGGGATACAATTTACATAATATCTGGCGCACTTCCGACCCCCGATGTAAACTGGGTGAACTTTATAATGCGAGTTCATAATACGAATGTAAGAGACGCTTATTGCGATATTTTTGACACACATTGTTATAATGTGATATTACGTAAAAATGGCGATATGTTATAATTACAGAATAATTAAAGCGTTGTTGTGATAGTTGAATAATATGTAGTGGGAATCAAGCTTGTGTCAATACGGACCTGATTTTACAAGCGGAATGTGGCTATAGGCGCCAAGCCTAATACATTAACGTGTAAACATGTAATACAATCCTTACTAACCGCGGGTTTCCACTAAGGAAACACTCGTAAAAAAATATATTATCATCCCTGTTATTTTTAAACAAAAGAGTGAGATGGCATTATAATTTTGTATAAGTGTATGTCCGAGGCCTGTTAAAAATAGAAACACACGGAAATTCAGCGGCCCCCAATCCAAGATAGTGTAGATCTCACGGCGACATTGTTAATGCGTGTTTCACCGCGACAATACTTTTTCACACAATTATACACTCTGTTGTAAGTTTTTGAACAAATAGAAAGTGCACTAGAATCAGCCGATGGCTTAATTGAATCATTATTATTAGGGAACATTTTTACTAACGACTTATGGTTTAAGAATATTAATTTACCTTAATAAAAATTTACAATTCACTTATTTAAGGTAAACAACTAATACTAAACATTTATGAAAGATTGCAAGCAAACAAGAGTTTATATAAAATATCTAAATGTAGGTATTGTTGTAAACTTGACTTACAAAACAAGACTAATTATCGAGTTGCATCGAAATATGTAAACTAGATGTGGCATGGAGTACATTCATTAATCATTCAATTCCTTGGATTTTGTTTGGATATACATTTTTTAAGCTATCAAATATCAAAAATCAGATATCAAAAATCAAAGAGTATCAAAAATCATAAAATCTGTCATAGATTAAAAAGCTTATTATCAAAGAACATTATACGTAACATTACTTATAAGCTAAGCATACAATTTAATTCCATATTCTTATTTTAGCTTAGTTGCTAAGAACTATTAAAAAAACTTTTGATTTAGTAATAAAACATTTTTTTTACTGGAAAAAACTCAAACTATTTCTTCGGATAGTTGAAATATAAAGAAATAAAAGCATTTTTAACGTTTTTTTTTTAATATTGATAATTGTACAGAGTAAAAAATACTTGTATGATGACATAAAGATGACCACAGATAAAAAATGACATGATCACCTTAACATATACGCGTTCGGTTTCGGTTCGTAATATTAAAGGTCTGGTTGACCTTTCGTTGTTTTTTCTTATAAATCTTGACCCTTTGATGAGGATTTTATGTGAATTAAAATAAGCAAATATTATTAAATGATTTTTGCTATTTTTAATTGACGACTATAGGAAAAGATTATTTTAGTTTTTTTTTTTAATATCGTTTATTAAAATTATTTAATTAGCATAAAACAGTAAATTCGGGTTATAAATATATAGATAATTAATAATACATTGGAAATGTTACCATCAAATTAATGATCAGGACATTATAGGTAATGCCTATATTAATCAGTTTGACCATAACTCCGCATTAAGAGCGCACACACATTTGACTAAACTATCGCACAACTGTTTAGTCGCGCTTTGATTCCTATGAGCATATATGGAGATGCACACAACTCAATATTTAGTTGTCCAACTAAACAGTTGGATCGCTGCGAAACAACCGACAATCGCACAACAGTTTAGTTTAGGTGTGCGCCCGCTCTTAGTGCGATACAATACAATTGTGTGCCGTTCTCACGTGATATCACCAGCATCCATAGATAGTCGAGAAAGTCGAGAGATTTCAGATTCTGATATACTCATTATGTGTTGAATTACACGCAATTAGTACACAAACATGACTGTGTTAACCCATGTTGTTGTTGATACAGTTATGTTAACAGGGATTATTCCCAACCGTCACCCCGCTGTGTCCCCATGTGGGGACAAATGAAAAGAAATGGTTCTTAGATTGTTAAAACAGTGGAAACTTACGGTTAGAGATAATTTTACAACATACAAATCTTACTAATCTTACTAACATTATAAATGCGAAAGTTTAGATGGATGGATGGATGGATGTTTGTTAGAGTTTGTAGCTTAAACGGCTTAACGGATCTTGATGAAATTTCGTATAGATGTAGAGAATAGTCTGGAAGAACACATAGGCTACTCACTTTTGTATTTTTTTTATTTCCACGCGGACGGAGTCGCGGGCGAAAGCTAGTATGTATATACTTCTAGAATCTTCATATCCATACTAATATTATAAAGAGGAAACATTTGTATTTTTCTATGTATTCGATTAACGTAAAAACTACAAGGCCGATTTTTAA